GGCCATATACGAGTAAAATCTCACTGGTTAAAAGAAAATGACGTCCTGCAGTTTTTCTTGACTTATTTTCAGTTGGTCAATGAGAAGGGAGTCTTCCATTCAGCGCGATGTCCTTGGATATTAAGCGGGTGCGATCATGGCCATCTCGAGCAGTAGCGTTGTCTGGCATTCCGCAAAGGTATGGTAGTAAGCCAAACTTCGGATACGTTTTCAAAGTCGAAAGCCTATGCTAAAACATCGGTACCAAATTTATTACATGGAAGTTTAAATAACTACTCCATATTGTATCAGGGGCCGACCATATAATTTTCGGGCATTGGGGGTGGGTTACTGGGATCTTTTTGAGAGCCAGGGTGATTTGTTCTCTTTTTCATCAATATTATTTTTTTTCAAAATAATAGTGTAATCTCGTTTCATCCATAAATCAGAGCAAGAAGTACATGCGAATCTATTTGACAACTTGATATTTAATTCCAATATCTTCCAGTACTTTAACTCCAGCCTTTATATTAAAAAAGTTACATATTTGATATATTGTCAACACAATTTAGCACCTGTGATTGGCAAGGATGGGAGAGGGATTTTCTACCTTCAGTCTGCTAGCCAGCAAATACACGTTGAGATTTAATTTTTGCCATTCCCTTGTATTAACCAGATTTTTGTAAGCTTTATATCCTGCTAAACGTTTAGGTTCTAGCGATTTTCGAATTTAAAAACAATATTTTGAATTTTCCTCTTATAGGATATCACATTTGGGATGTCTCTCCTTTTATGGAAATGTTAAAGTATCGTGACCGCCATGATACACGTAAAATATAGTAAATGAACAGATTAGTTGAAACAAATATACGAAATAATATTGGCTAAATGATCCTGAAAGAAATTGAAATTGATTTTAATTTAAAATTTCGATCGTCTTTATTTATATTTATGCATTGTTTATATAATCCTACCCTGTAATCGCATGCACTCCGAAGCAGACCGGAAGTTGATCTTTGAAATGGTTGCCTTTGTGTGTAAGACACGAAGCAACGGATAAACATTTTGCAAAACTGACCCTTCAGAATCAGTAAGGTGTTTTAAATGGTAATGGATGAAAGATATGGAGTGTCTTCTTTAGTGATGTACGTTATGAGTGACTGAACGCGCAGATAGTATCGGAAAATTAGATCGGAGTCATCAAAAGGTCAAATTGTGACCGGCGAGAGTTAGTTACCTTGTGTTAACTGGTGAGTGTACACATTAGTTTACCCCGGAATTTAGTGCCTTTGATATAGTCTCTTTTCTTTGTAAAGTGTATACCTTATATACTCGCTTATAAGTCATTTCCAACTGCAAACAAAATAAAGCATCCTCAGATCATTATGTGTTGATTGTTGTACTAATTTTATCCAATCAAATTTCAGAGATCCACACTTGTTGACATAATAACATAATTTTGCCAGTTTTTCTCTTCTTCTATATTATCAACACTTGCTGCTCATTTATTTTTAAAACGATCACAGTGAAGTTCAGTAGGTGACATTAAAATATCCAAAACACCTGCTCTCAAGTTTTTGTTAGGATCACTTCTTATCAAAGCCGTATCCTAGGCGCTTAAATGTGACGGTCTTATCAAAAGATAAGGCTTTTCGGGCTTAAGATGTCCACAAGTACGTCTGGCCTCGCGCTACCCAGCATAAGCGCGTGCCGCTAGAAAGATGGACTTAAAAATCAAGATGCAGCTTTGGAAATTTCAAAAAAAATTCCATACAGACAGTAATGAAATGCATTGTCCTCAATTTAAACGAAGTTGAAAGATCGTATAGAGCAATGCTGTTCAGTGATAATAGAACTCGACACCACGTGGAGAAGATTTAATGACTGGATGGGGTTGAGAAATAATTGGCGTCTTACAAGAGACAATGCTGACAGGCATGTCAAACCTGTTTAAGTATTTCTGTCTGGATTTAGCGTTTATATCGTATTTTTGTGAAAATTGTAGCGGTAGGTTATATAAAAAATAACGATAAGACAAGGTTGGTTGTCTATTACTGTTACGTATCTAATCTACAGAAACGATCAAAACAAGTATTTCTATCGATCTTCCTTCTAGAAAGTGTTTACTTTGTAATTTCTTTCACTTGTAGCAATCCTTCACAATTCTTTTATTCCATCAATTTCCAGATAAGATTCATTAATAAAAACAAAAACAAAACAAAACAAAACAAAAAAAAAATAAAAAAATAAAAGAGAAGAACTTCTAAAGCTTTGATGTGAACATCTAAACCCTCGTTACGTAATGAGTTCGAAGAAAACGAAGAGGGGATAAATTTGTTTAAAATTCTTAGATATCCATATGCTTATAAAAATAACATTTCTTGTAAAATAAAGTTAACCAAGATACTAGGGAGGGTAGGTGGGCAGAAATAAAATGCACATAAGTCATCATGAAAAGGGTATGAACAAGAATGGAATCAACGAAATGAGCGGAACGTATATTTCTGTAATATTTCAAATCTAGCTTGTAGATGTGATTGAAAATTTTTGTCTTGTATCTTAATGTCTTTGAGATGCGCACTATAATGAGGGAAAGGGATAGTAGGCAAACTAATCGTCTTTGTGTGTTTGTGTGTGTGTGTGTGTGTGTGTGTGTGTAGAATGAAATATTCGCGGTCTAAATGTATATGACGTTTATTTTGCTTGCTTGATTTAAATATTATCATCTGACAAAATCCCGTCCCGTAAAAACAGCAAACTTTTTTACCCAGAATTCCATTCTATGCTGTCCCATACAAACACTTGACAAAGTAGATATTGATCCTAGCAAGAAAAAAAGATTATCTCTAAATCTCTTAAGGTAATTTAAATTACATGCCACAGACAAGGTACTACAGGCACATTCTATGAGAACTGCAATTGTGCAGCAACAAACTGTGAACTGGAGCGCCCATACATGTTTACCGGCAGTTAAAGTTAGCAAACTGCTAACTGAAACGACCTCAAATGTTTACCGGCGGTTATGGTCAGGTCACAATTATTTTCCTGTATGATCCATACGTTTCTTTGTCAGCAAATGAACTTTCCAATATATATATATATATATATATATATATATATATATATATATATATATATATATATATATATATATATATATATATATATATATATATATATATATATAAATGCTAATAAATTGTATGCTAATCTAAAGTATCTTTAAAAATGAACTCAGTGAACTTCAAATGTTAACATATTTTTTTAAAAGTCACTGAACTCTTCACTAAACAACGTGTGATCGCAGATTTATTTTATTGACTATATCAAAATCTGCTTAGTTATGGTGCACTGACGCAGTGTCAGTATGTGTTTGCAGGTATCGTAGCGGTACATTCACCCTATATTGTTTATATTCTAAAGAATGAGCAATTTACCTTTAAATCGATGTCCAGAACAGCTATGTCTAAGCCAAGGATCACAAGCTCTGAAGTCCTAACAGGTAAAGTTATCTATCGTCAATTTTATGGTTGCATTTTACACATATTTCAACTTTCCTCAAGAAATCTTTTTGATTTTCATGCATAACAAGGAGTGTGACAACTGGCACAAAGTGGTTAGTCCTGGTGTTCAGCGAGGCACAGTTTATGGACCAAATGCGTTTGAGGCCACAATACTAAATTTGTGATATATTTCTTATTTAATGAAGTGCATTTTTAAAATACATAAATATATATATATATATATATATATATATATATATATATATATATATATATATATATATATATATATATATATATATATATATATATATATATATATATATATATGTTTTTATATATATATATATATATATATATATATATATATTTCTTTATATATATATATATATATATATATATATATGTATGTATATATATATATATATATATATATATATATATATATATATATATATATATATATATATATATATATATATATATATATATATATATATATATATATATATATATATATATATATATATATATATATATATATATATATATATATATATGAAAAGTATGTTTCAAATATAAAATATTATTAAATTTAATTTTATAATAATTCTAAATACAAATTTAAATTTCAAAATAATTTTTAAACATATAAATTGAATTTCATACAAATTCAAAACATGAAACTGCCAAGATTTAGGCATGACAATTTGCCAATGAATGACATTTAAGAAATTTGATAGCGTGGGTCTCTCCAACGTAAAATATCATGCACAATATATTGATGCGAAACAGCTTACAAGAAGTATTGAGGCAAATCGCAATATGTTTACATTTATTTCAATGCGTATATCTTATGTATTCGTTTATAAGACGAGTCCAACTGCCAAGTGAACAGACCCAAATCTGCAGTCGCGTAATGCGCCAACAGATCTGGGTCTGTGCAGTTTGTTAGGAGTCATCAGTATAACAAACAGCATAGATCCTAATATGTAGTCGCATTATGCTACAGTAGACCATGATCTTTGTTGGTAGGAGTTTTGTTTGATTTATAAGCGAGTACATACGATATGTGTACACGCACACTAAAGAAACAATGACAAATGCTAGGTACAAGATTTACTGTATCAGGTAATTGTTAATATAGATAATATCACTTCCAAGTTTCCAGTTGTGACGAGACCTTTACCATGTTTTATAGTAAAAATTCAAAGTCAGTGTCAAGAACTATGTCATTAGCCATGAAAGTTAACTATGTAATAGTATAATGCAACTCTAGGGATGGTTCTACCTTAGTCTCTCTCATGAAGATCTAAGTCATATCTTGGAGGTACTGTATATTAAAGAGGCCTTAGTATCACTCTCTAACTGCCTGGATCATCCAATCAAATCCAAGCATGAGCATGAGCATGAAAAAGAGAGAGAGAGAGAGAGAGAGAGAGAGAGAGAGAGAGAGAGAGAGAGAGAATGCTGAGCGTCTAGCGAGGTAGCTGTTAGTATCATTTTTGGTATTTGGTATGACTCATCCGGGGTTCGAACCCGCTACCTCCCGCATCCGATGCGGACGCTCTAACCACTTCAGCTACAGGAACGGTTTACCTGAAAATAGATAACAGGTGTTTCTTTAATCTCAACAAAAGGTAAGATGCAAGTAAATGAACTAAAAAAGAGAGTTGAGCTTTTGCAAGCATAGGGAAAAAAGCCGATACATTTTAAATAATGCCACTCAAAATTTTGGCATATTTTAAGGTGTCTCTATTAATTTCCGAGATATTGTTCCCAGCTATATGTTTATCATAAACAAATAATAAGATTACATACGGTATCATAAAGTATAAGGCAACGTGGGGAGAATGATGTTTGATCATTTGTGCAACAATTAGTACATATCAGCATACAATGTAAGTGGCAAATTACTAAATTAAAATATGTCACTATATGTAAATTTATTTTTGATGTAAATATTATTTGGGATATTCAATGAAGTGCATTGTGTGTCTGACAGATCGAGTATCCATACAAATGAAGCTTATATTATCAGTTCAATGTGAAATTCTGATATAAAAAACAAGGATGGACATTTGTTCATGTTGGACACTAAACCACGTACATATTAAGGTCAAAGATACAAATATAAAAAGATGATCTATTTAAACAGGTTTTTAAGAGTGCCAGTTAGCAATCATTTAGCAAAATAGTTTATGTAATATTCGAGTTTGCTACAGTACCGCACTTAGTCAATTCAATGTCTCAAACCGAAGATAACATTGGAAAGGAATTTATACTGTTTAGGACTTACTTGATTTGTTTGATTTTCTAACTTCCTTGTTAATAAGACCATGGTAAGTACATATTATTCGTTTGACCTATATTTTTTTCTTCAGGGTTCTCCTTCTCTGAGATTTTTTAATGGATTAATGGGCAAACTGAATATGCAGTACTATATCTCTGCAGAAATTCAATGAAATACTGAGAGAAAAATACATGCAAACTTTTTAATCTAGACTATTTTTGATAAAAGATTCTGTCAATCATTCATTTTAAATTGCATAATTCATCTCATGGAATTAACATAAGCAGTATTATCTTTATTCAACTCATGTTTGTGAATGCAGTAAAACCTGGGTTAAATATCAAAATCACTGAGAAAACAAGTGTAAATTTCCTTAATGGCGGACGGTCACGTGGAACAAATATGGCAGCGATCATGGACGCAAAAGTAAAAAGGTATGTATTTTCTACGTCTCCATCCTTTCATTAGGTACCATGCAAATATGTTTCAAATAATTGTAACCCACATAAGCAGATATATGTTATTCACATATCATCATTATCATCATCATCATCATCGTCGTCGTGGTCGTCATCATCATCATCATCAACATCATCATCATCATGATGATGATGATGATGATGATGATGATCATCATCATCATCATCATCATCATCATCATCATCATCATCATCATCATCATCATCATCATCATCATCATCATCATCATCAATCTCGTGACCCAAGAGGTCGTTGGGCACCACAGATGACTTCAAAACTAAATTGTCTCCATCTACCTCTGTTCTCCACTGCCCTTTTACAGTCTGATTCTTCTTCTGCACCCTCTCACTATCCTGACCATATCACTTCAGTTTACGTTTTTCTCACAGTGGTCAATAGGTGTTCATAGAGTCCGATAGCTCCTTGGATCCTGTTTTGGACCTCTTTGTTGTTACATGGTCAATGTTTGAGATGCCCAAGATCTTGCTTTAGTATCACATTTCGAAGGTTCAATCCGGATTTTTAGATCTGATGTTAGCATTCATTTTTCACAAGCATACAGAAAAAATAGACGTGATAATAAAGTTCATCAGCTTTTTTTGGAACCAAGTGCAATATTGATGCCTTTCATACTGATCTCAACATTGTTATTATTGCGGTTGTCGGTCAATCCTGCAAAGTAGTTCTTGTTTAGAGCTCTCATCTGTGATAATTGATCCCAAGTACTTGAAGCTTGTGACGGTTTCTAACTTCTGTCCACTGAAATTTATTTATGTATTGTCGCCATTTGTGTTCTTTGGCATCAGTTTGGTTATCGTATGCTGTGGAGGTTGTGTCGACGTGCTCAACTAAGCCAGCCAGTTATTTTTCATCTTTCGCTAAACCATCAATATTATCTGCGAAGAGAAGGTTGGTGATTGTTCTTTGTCCGATACTGACAGTACACTCGTGGTCTTCCAAGGCATCCTCAATGATCTTTTCCAGGGAAATGCTGAAGAGTATAGGTGACAATATATATTTCCCTTTCTGACTCATCTGTTGTTCGTAACCAATCTCATCTGCTGTCACTGATGAAAAGAGAATGGTGGCTTTGTCAAAGAGGTGTTTAACAACCCGCATCGGGTTTGATCTAATGTTGTACTTCCTCATAGTTTCCCAGAATGCGGCATGCCGCATGCTATACTCTGTCAAAAACATTCTTGAAATCTTTAAGGACATGGCAAAGATTTTGCTGATGTTGAAGGAAGCAAAGGAAGTCTGAGAATGAAGATTTATTCTGTGATGCTCTTTCCTGCCCTGAAGACTGTCTTCTTGAGTCTTTTATCTGTTGAGAATTCTTTCAGCATGATTTTGCTTGGGCTGCTGATCAGATTGATCAGTGTTTGCGGACTGAGCTGAAAGTTCAGGATACAAGCAAATATTTCTTACCAGCTGAAGCGTTTATTGAAGTAGAAGATGAAATTAAAAAAAAAAACAAACAACAAAAAACAGAAGATGCTGAATATGGAACTAATGTTAGAGTTTGGTTTTGTTAATAACCGCATCAAGGCGTTGTTCAACAGTGCTACCTATAGCATCAACGGAAGAAAAAAAATTAATCATGTCTGGAAAATGTCGACGTTGTCACGACGATACTTGGCCTTGCAAGATAGAGCGATGATTACTCTAGATCAGCTGGCCCATCAATGATGTTTGTGAAGGATACTTCTGACCACAGTGACAGCAGATAGTATAATATAAAATGACCAAGAAACAATGCCGACAACGCTGACCCTGATGTGTGGACGGTGGTTCATGGTACCAGTCAGAATTAAACTTATGATTCGCAGCACGTCGATCAATGCTAAAGGATTGAAGTAGAAGGTTTCCATGTGCAATATCACTGTCACATATCTTTGGATTTGCAGAAATGTCAGAAAGGTAATTTTAAAGCCAAACATACAGTTGTACTCGTACAAAAGGCTACCGACGATGACGCAATCTGGCGCCCTCTCGGTGATGCTGGTAGAGTAATACTGACAAAACCTTCATTTTGGATGCCAAAATTGATGTCGTCATTGACCGAAGAACAATGGCTGCTCTTTTTATGGACTCAAGTGGTAATATTATCATGGTTAACCATGATCAAAGATAGTGTTCAAAAAACGTTAATGGTTTATTCATATGGTAGATAGCATCACATCAAGGAGTATCAGAACCACGACATATATTCATTTCTTTCCAAAGTACTGAACGAGTAAACGCACACACAGTATAATTATATTTGACAAACTTGGTATTATTGAAGTTTCACTGAGAATAAATGGCCATCACAAACCATCCTAAGATATATTATTGAATTTTGATAACAATCATGTAGCACACACACACACACACACACACACACACACACACACACACACACACATATATATATATATATATATATATATATATATATATATATATATATATATATATATATATATATATATAAATATAAATATATATATATATATATATATATATAATCGTTTGATGACATTTATGGGACGGGATCAAAGTCTTGATTCTGGTGTACAAATATCACAATTAAATTTTCAACGCTGTATCAGAATTATTACTTTTCGCTGGAACACCTGGATATGTCTACAAAATCAATAGTTGATGTACACTTTTGAGCTCGCGTGGCAAGAGGAGAAGATGTTGCTAATTACAGAGCAATCGATGTTATACTCTCAGACAAAGCAATACAGCTTGAAGGTGTTGATGGACGAAAGAGGGTCATTGATGACCCAGTGGAAAAACATTTAACTGGATCACTCGAGATCAGTAATTAAATCGCTCATGATATTGTAATGTAATATTAATGTTACTCTGACTCCTGGTCAGATTAAAATTTAAAGCTATAATCAGTATCCAAACAGAATTTTGGAATAAAGATAGTACTGAAATCAACACAGGTGGCAGGTGGTTCAAATAAACTACCACTAACAGAATGTCAACTCAGGTACTTCTTTAATCTTTCTGCGGGTGCCATTAAAGATATCGCCAAGACAGGTTGTATATTTCCACTTTTTGCAGCTATACCAACGTTCAGCAGCCCAAGCTGTTACAAAAGCAGCTGCACTTGGTGCTGTTGGAACTGCTAATGGGATGGCATTAAAGAAAGCAACAGGTCATGAAATAAAGACTTCCCCAAAAAGACGGGGTCTAAGACTACCAGGAACCACTCATTCGTGGTACGGTCAAGTTTCGAGCAGTTCAGGTTTGAGGTTGCCCGGGACACTTCGCTAAACAATCTTGATTTCCTTGATGCCGCTAAAAATTTAAACATCAATAATTTCAGATATGTTTTATACGTGCTCAATTATCAAATCAACCAATACGTGGAATCCGGTATCATTACTCTCGATGATAGGTCTGGACCAGGTACTCGTTGCGTTACATACGCGATCTATCCTAGTGGAGTTGCTTATTTTGATATGTATGGACTGCAAAACCGAAGGTATTTTTAAAAATATGTTGGCGGACTTAAAAACACTCCCATCTGTTATTTAGCAATACTAACACAGACAATATCTGATTCGCCAAAATGTAGCCCTGAAATACTCGCTGTGCTCGACTCTGTTTCTAGGTCGTTAACACCACATCATAAAGTCGTGCAAGAGTATATCACATCTTTAAACATATTAAACAGGTCTTAGTAAATATACAATGGTATATATTCATGGTAGATCTGCTCGGAATCTTACTCAGGGCAAGCCTCAAGATGACTTATCCAGATATGCAACCATTGGCCAAGTCAAGGATGAGCTCACTACTATTTAGCGTCTCGTA